AGGATATTATCAGTCCAAGATAGAGCCTCCAGTGCGGCCCACTCCATAGCTTCAACCTTTTCGGCTTTGTATACACTTTACCGACATGCCAGACGTAGTTACTCGATAAAAATCAATATCATCGATATTAATCGATCATTCAATTCGCCGACTAATATCGATTGATATGGGAAATCGATAGAAATCGAAGCCACAGAAAAAATAATTTATCGGTTATTATAACAATCGATAGGAATCGAAGGTAATCGATAACAATAGTTAAAAAATCATCATCGATTTCAGGGTCGATTTCTATCGGAAAATCATCGATATTAATCGAAGTCAGAACATTTTTTCTTTATCACTTTTTATCGATCGATATCGGAAATCGATATTCATCGATGATTGATTCAATTAATATCGATTATCGGTTTATCGATTAACTACGTCTGGCGACATGAAAAGCTATAGTATGAAGACCTGTTCACGCTGCGCCAAAAAGTGGCACAGTAACCTTTCAATACGTGACGATCCATTTTCAAGATCCGCGCGGCGCGGCTTGGCTCCGTTACAGTAATCGCGCCGATATCACCGTTCCTATGTGTGAACAGAAACCCTATCCAGTATGGTTTTCGTGTCGGCAAGGGAAGCTCCCCGGAGGGGGGGGGGGTACTGTCATATATGGGCTATATGGGTATGTGCCGCTGTGAAGGGTATGGTTTTCAAGCAGTTTACTCTAGGATAGGGTATATAAATCAGAGCGTTTGGGTCTAGAATAGGGTGTCATTTTTCAGGAAACTGATCAGTTGGTTGAAGATTTTATCTAGACTAGGGAAACAGCTACTCTAGGATAGGGGGGATTTGGGGAGTTTACTCTAGTATAGGGTAGCAAAATTCAGCTGAACTAGCTCTGGTATAGGTTAAGGGTTCCAGGGTCCCAGCGGCACATCCCCACCCAGAAATTCCTAAATTACCCCCCCCCCCCCGGGGGGGAAGCTATCCTGTGTACAGTGAACATAGCCGTAGAAACTGGGGAGCGGCCCAAAATAGACAGCGAAGAGGAACATTGATTACTTTAACAACATTGGCTAGCAGCAAGAAGCCTAACAAAATCCCCGGTTGGTCTTAAATTTAGACATTTTCAAATGGTCATTTTCTTTTTCCGAAAACCTTTCGTAAGCTACCTTAAACCAGCCTAAACCAGGATATGGGTCACACGTGTGACGTAAACATGAGTATTAGCATCCCAAGATGGTGTTTTTCTAAGTCGATATGTGTGAACTACCATGAGACAGAAGCCTAAGCGCAATTAAGCTCCCGTTCACACGTGGGAAATGGAAATGTGAAACGCAAGGTTGAGATTTTCCCGTGATGTTGCCGAAATTGACGCTATGGCAAGGTATTTTAGACCAGAATGTCTTAAACTCTCGTTATTAATTTGGAGTTGAATCTCATCAACCCTTACTTTGCCTCAGGTAGGAATCTTTAACCGAAAATAACAAACAGAACTGCTGTATTCATTTATGGCTTAGCGGATTCTGAGATTCTGTTGACAAACACAACATTTAAGAGATGTCGGCGCTTTTGTGGCGATTGAATAGACTAAATTTGTTTAAAATAGCAAACCAAGCCACTTATGTTTTTTTTACAGTATTTACAAACATTTGATCAAAAAAACGTTTGACGTCGCCGCTTTTTAGATCTCCTGTTCGAGCTTGTTAGTTTAATTAGCTATAGGTAAAGTCACGAACGGAAGCAACACCGTTGGCTGTATAGAATTAGTTACCTTAAGAGAGGTCCGCAAGGAAAATTCCTCGCACACTCCAAATGAAAAGGCATCTTTTTTCCTCTTTTTTCTATGCTGTTGAGGGATTAATTGTCGCGGTAGCAGTAAGGAAGTCTAAGACTAAATTTATCGCTTAGTCGTCTGAAAGTTGAACAGAAAACGATAAAATCTCAAAGGCCTCTAAATCCTCTTCAGCGCAGCGGATGTGGATTTAAAATCCCGGGGGACTTCCTTTAAAAAAATGGGGGGTGCTTGCCCTTCCCTTTTTTTAAAGAGGGTGCCAAAATCTGCTCCCTCTATAGTTACTGCACTGCCATCTAGAGACGTATATTTGGACCTAAAATGACACTAGCTACTTTTGTCAGTTAATTAGAAGTGGTACGTCTGTACTGGTTAGGGGTGAGAAGACATTTTTTAGCCACGCCCAAAAATCGCGACCCTGGTACCTTGTGTGTGTGTGGATGGGTGTTATTCGCACTAGCCTCTCCGTCACTTTATAACAAGGGAATTCACATATCCGATGATTAACACTGTCAATCTTTGTAACTTCTCTATAAAATTTCGTTTGTGATCATTCGTTTCACAAGAAAACTTAGCATATCTTGACTTTTCCCCAGTATATTCATATCTAGTTCTATGCGTAAGATTTTCTAATACTTGAAACAGTAGGCGTTTGAATTGATAAGACCGACTAAATTTTAATTACTTTATACAAGATAAAGGGTGGCATTAAATGATAAACCAATCAAAGGAACGGAAATTCGGTGGCTTGTTCTAATTTTTTGGTTTTGTTTATATTGTATATTATATCGATCTTAAACAAGTCGGTTAGCTATGATCTGTCAAGAAAACTTATCACAGTTTTAAGCTGGCTCATCGTTTTACGTAACGTTTTCATTACTTACGTAATCTGTTCCTTTGGTACCTGCAGACGAACCTAAAAGTTTTCTAAAAATACGGCGCTAAAAAGTAGCGCCAGTTGAAACAAGGGAAATTACATATGGGTGACCGAAGGGAATAGATTGCGCCATATCGAAAATGGACCACGTAACTTTGTCAATGTCTCTGAAGAAAGGGAGTTATAACTGCTCTCGCTCGATAGTCAAACAGTTGACTCTATCAAATTCATCAGTGCCAAGAGTTCGGAACTTTGAAGGCATTCATGTATTTCTAACTTTGAATCCGTGACGAAATCCTGTAGTATGTCCATTTGAATGAAGTCTTAACATAAATAAACTATGGAGGGCTTTCAGTTTTTGCGATATTTTATAAAATGAAATTTGACGTTTTGAATTCATTCGGATTCCGTTCTTGGTAGTTAACGTCATAAGTAAGTCAGTTGTCTAAGTGTTACGCACGCGTACATGCTGCCTTGCCTCCTCCAGGAGGGGGTCGGGAGAGGTTATTCAACAAATGTTTGTACGGGGAGGCTCCGCTCCGAGGTCCGACCCCTTACCCTTTTATACACCATTTTTCACGAAAAAGGTACCCCTTTCGGGTACCTTCTATTGAGAAATGGTACTTCTTTCACTAGCTTGTTTAGAACTTTGCATCCCTTTTAACCGCTGTAAATGCACCGTCTTTTAAATAGGAATCAATCACAAAAATAGAACGTTTTCTCGACTTTATCAAGCCTTAAAATTCGTCTGTAAGCCCTTTTGGCCCTTTTACAGACGCAAATGACAGATTTCTCTACCCTTTTATATACTTCAACTAGTGAAATCCCTACCCTTTCATAAACCTGAAGACTGAAAAAGATGCCCCTTTCGGGCGGAGCCTTCCCGTATAGGCCATCATAGGGAGTACCCCCCCCCCCCTTCCCCGGGGCCTTGCCATGACATTTCACTTCAATAAATCTTAAGAAGTAACACCATTCAAATGGAAGCTCCTGAACGGTTCTTTCTTCTATGGAACCGTTTGTTATGCTGTGTAAAGTAGTCCAAACTTGTATGTGCTGGCGTGAAATCCTAAATTTGCGACCATTTACATGAAAGCTACAGAGCAGTACAGTATTCCCTGCGGTACTCTTTACTATTTTGTATACGGTGGTTCTACCTTTCGGGGTGATCTTTGAATCTGTGGATCAAATCCTAAAGTGTAACCAGTCAAATCAATGCAACTGAGAAGTACTTTCCAGTCATACCCTTAAAAATACTGCACACGAAAGTATATTTAACCGTTTCAAAGTTGTTCATAAGTTTCTTAATTTCACTGACCTTTCAAATCAAAGCTCAGTGGTAAGCCGCACTTAAGCGCGTGTGGTTTACGCACCTTTCTCAGCATGGGGCACAACAAAATCCCAAGTGTTCCTTTTTATCTTTTTTTCTTTATATGTTTAGATAGCTGGAGAAAATTATGATTAACTTGTAAAAAATTGCGTGCGATATATATAGTTATTTCGACTAATATCGTTAAGGTCTTATAGCTAAATCCACCCGCTCCTCAGTAAACACGTTATGGCGAGATTACTTTTCAGTCAAATTTTTGAATCTGTAGACAAAATCCTGTGATGTTACCATTCAAATAAAACCTGTTTTGCAGAACTTTTGCGTGGTACTATTTATTTCGTAGGATTTTACAAAAAGGAACTTTGGTTTTATTGGTGAATACTATTCTGACTATTCTGACTATTAGCAATGAATGACGAAAGACTCTACATGAGTCCAACAATTAACCATGTACTATTCCATCCATTGTTGAGGGGCGGTGAACGTAACTAAAGAGGTTTTCAGTCAATAAACGTAAGAAAGTTTATTTAAACCTGAAACAGTTAGAGGAAAATAAAGCAGAACTTTTCTGAAGAGAAAAAAGTCAGAATAAAATGATTTTTTTACACCAGTTACACCCATAATTAATAAAGGAAGCTGAAGGCCAAATTGTTTCCTGTCGGTTAAATGGAATCCACAACATTCTTTTGTACCGTAATAAATTACGCAAGTCATTTATAATCACGCGATGTGAGACTTTCATTGAAGTTTGTTGAAAGCCTTGGCACGCATGGGTGAATCTCGATATTGACTTGGTAGCGAAGATTAGATCATCTTGAAAGTTCGAGGATAACATTGTTTTGCTATTGATACGGGATGTACCAGTTGTCCATCATTCAGAGGTGATCTCCTCGCCGATAAATAGAGGAAACATTATTTTATTCCTGGTTGTTCAGCGCCAAGCTGCGATAATCTCCAAACTCAGCTAAGAATCTGCACTCTTGTTAGACCTCTGTTACAATATCGGCATGGAGAGTAATGACACTGGAAATGAATCTAGCAATGAAACTTTTCCAAGTTCACTGGCAGACGCGGTCCAAGGAGAAGCAGCGACCTTCAAGATCGCAAAGATCTTCTTCTACTTTCTTATCCTGTCCGCAAGCACTTTTGGCAATAGCATGGTTGCCCATGTTATAAGCACCACAAGAAAAATGCATTCTCCCTCCAACTTTCTGATACTCAACTTAGCCATTTGTGATCTTTTAACGCCGATTATCAGTATTGTGTTTGATTTCGTTTGGGAGGAAAATAGCTATGTGTGGATCTACGGCGGGGTGATGTGCAAACTGTTATGGCCGGCGCAGACTTACTTTACCTGTGCCTCTTCACTGACACTCGCCGCGATTTCTTTGGATCGTTATCGACTTATTATGCATCCTTTTAAGACGCGTTTGTCGCTGAAGCAGGTCTGCATTTTAATTTGCGGAGTCCACGTTTTCTCTCTAGCGGCTGTGGGTCCTTACGTTTATGTTCTTAACCTCAAAGATGGCTCTTGCGACGAAAACTGGCCAGACTTTGCTTACAGACAAGCTTACACGTTTTTCTTATTCCTCGTTCAGTATGGTCTGCCGCTGTGTTTTATGGCGACGATGTATGGTTTAGCTGTCCGCGCGCTTTGCCGCACTTCGGCGAAAATGCGTGATAATTCTATAATCGAAAAAGTTTCGGTAAGACGTGAGAGTGTAGAAACGCAAGTCAAACTAACGCGCAAGATTTCCCGAACTCAATCTGTAAAGAGAAAGATAAGCATGTTGAGCGCGCGAATCGACATCTGGAGTACCGCGAATGCAAAAGCCACAAAAATGTTTATTGTGGTAGTGGTGGTTTTCTCCATTTTTATGTTTCCAAATCAAGTGGTGTGGTTGTGGGCAGACTTTGGCGGTGGGATAAACAGTCCAAATTTTACAAAAATTTCCATCATTTGCTGGCTTTTCACCTACACCAACTCTGTTGTTAATCCGATTATTTTTGGAGTTTTCAGCAAAGATTTTCGCCAAGGTTTCAGGAGAGTTTTTTATCGCTTTGTTCGCTGTGGTTGTAAATCATCACCAGAAAGGAGTGGAGAAAGGGAAAGATTACAGACAGTGTCGGAATCTTAACTTTCCTACGTCTGTCTCCCACAATATATAAAAAAATCTACATTTTATTATCCAGATGGACTTCTGGCTCTCAGCTCTTAGATCCGGTTAAATTTAAGGCGTAGGCCAGATGTAGTGTGCTACGTAGTGGTTATAGAGTCAATTCCAGTGAAAAAGAACACGTATTTACTACACTGTGCTTCATTCCGCATGGTCTTTTTCCTGTTGATTAGTAAAAGGAATTTTTATTTTATTTCTTGTTTTGACTTGGTCATTAATGAGATCGATAAGCTTAATTGCTGGAGGTGCATCGCCGACCGCGTTAGAGTAAGACTGACAACGTAGCTACCTCTGTGTCTGTTTCTGTTCGTGTTTGTCAATGAACACCCGCGCTAACTGCAAGAGATGGGAGAGAGAGTTAATCCTGTCAACACTAAAAGGCTTTGACAACCATGACTTCAATAATCAGACGACTGGAAACAGTTGCAAGTGTGGAGGCATTTAGTATTGACGCATTAGGGTAGATTTCATGATGTGTCGCGTACCTGTGGTTATTCCAGTGGAACATATGCAGTTGTTTGCATAATCTTCGTTTAAAACTGACTAAAAATGAAAGACACAGAAATAAATAGTTCTTTGCCAATTATTAGGAAAATAAGAGTCAGGTGAAATCTGTGCTGGGCTGTTATCAGCACACATCTTCTCCTTCCCTTTTCCTTAAACTTCCTTTTGTACTTGTATGGAGAATTTGTTAAAGAACCAACACATGTTTTGATCAAAGCTTCATTTCTCACGATCGTTATGATAAATGAGAGGAAATGTTGTACAGGAAGACTTAAGATGCGGGTCGAAAGGGCATACTTTGAAATCAGCCGTTAACTTTATACAGTGTTGATGAAGGCGCTGTTGGACTTTACATTCAAGCTGTGCAATTTTGAATAGAAAGCGTTCCATTAACGTGGGTCTTTTGTGATGTTTGTCTAAACAGCATGACATAGAACATTTTTTAGTATTAATAGACTCTGATAAAGGATATTGTCGGTGTTTTCAAGCGTGTCCTTGTGATGTCTGTCATTGAAAAGAATCGCATTCTTATACTTATTCTTGACATACCCCTTCTTGGGGCAAAAAATAACATTAACCACTCAGAAAGGAACATGCCTTCTGACATTGAAAAATAAACACTGAAGTTTCACCCAGACTCAACAATTGAACAACAATGTACTATCAGCTTGACTGTGAATTTGATTGTAATGAGGTTAATATAACTAAAGAAATGCTATGAATAACTTGCTTTGTTTACGTAGATGATTCATCTTTCAATAGTATGTTTTTAACTACAAGAAATACAAATTTGTAAGTAAATTATAGATTGAAGTTTTGCAAGTAAACACATTTTAGTGTATTTTTTGTGAAGTTTTAAATAGATATACATCCGTAATTGATCAGCTTCCAGAATGTTTGATTGGAAACAGTGATATGCTTTGTCAACTTGAACACTCACTTCTAAGACTTCTAATTGTGACCATACAACTCCCAAATTCTGTGCCGTAAACTGACAGAAAAAAATTGGTAAGATGTACATGTATGCACAAGAATTATATTATTTGAGAGTTTTTATTTGAATTGTCACGTAAATGTAGGAGTTCGTCCACAGACTCTGAAGTTCCTGTCTTCGTAATCATCATGGAGATGTCAAGTGAAAGAGCTTACAAAACATGTAATTCAGAGAGATCGAAAGAAATAATGGAAGATTTAATCAAGAGGAAGCCGAAATGGCGGCGGGGGTACCCGATGAGAAAATTGAGGCACTTGTGATATTTTTCCTAGAGTTACCAATGTTGCTACGGCCTGTGGGGAAAGTGAAGAAAGGTGCTAGGAAAGATCCATTTCGATGCTATTTATTTGATTAATCATACAGTGGACCCCAAATTAGAAAAAAAGTGTCAAAACTAAGCAAGGTAGCTAGTTAAAAAGGAGTAATTGTCACTGGAAGCTAAATAATTTGTTTTTTTACGCCTTTCGTTGATTCAGGCACTGATTACTTTGAAATATTTCATCGTGGTATTCATGATTATTGCATTTCAGCTATTCATTTCACGTTTGTAACAATGAGAAAGGCCTTTAATGCTCTATTTCTTTTAAAGTTAATTAAGTCCTTCCTGTGGTTAAGTGTCAATGCTGTAGGGTTCAAAATGCCTGAAGGCTTGACCACGCCCTTAATCTACCACCCCTGCGTTTGTCGGAGGAAAGCTTACAAGGCTTTTAGAGAACGAAGAAGTCTTGCGAATACGAATTGAAACATGTACGTTTACTTGTTATCCTGTCACAAAAAAAGGGTGCAAGTTGAAAAAAACATTAACTTAATGATGAAAAGGAAACAGAAAATGAAGCACTAGGTTGGTCGTATGAAAACAATCTTTAAAGGAGATGTGAAAAGTAGCCCAGATATATTAGTATTTAGTTGTAGGTTCTTGTAAATTTCCTCAGTTGACTCTCGCTTGATTTGAAGATTGACTCAATGAGACCAATCAATAAAACATTTAAACAAGAGTTTGGCTTATCGGCAATCGATGAGCGAAATTCAGCTAACGGAATATTTGATTGAATTTGCATTTACGCAACTCTGAAGCTTAAGCTGAGAAATCTTTGTATTAACTAGCTGAGCTGACAGGACATGTCTAAACCATCCAACTTCTATCAAGCTCGAACCGCGTTTTTGTCTTCATCGATTTTCATCAACCATTTCTCAACGTGTAAGGTAGTCCGGATTCCGAAATCCCTGAAATGTTTCCTTGTGGAATCCTAAATCCCCGACTTTGGACTCCGGAATCGACCTCAAGGAATTCAGAATCCCACTAACGATTGGATTCCGGAATCCAATCTCCACTGACATGGGATCGGGAATCCAGTTCCTGGAATCCGGGATCCACAGCGTGAAATCCAGAATTCAAGACTGTCTTGGATCAGGGTCTGGAAGTGATCTCTCGTGATCCGTGAATTGACCGGTAAACATAGCGTGAATCAGGAAAACTCATGAACTACAGTCGCGATTAGTGAATTAATAACAATTATTGACCGAAGTGCGGGTGGCTAGTATAAATTATTCACTGTAACGCGTGATCCTCTAACATTGCAGTCGGTGAATCAAGATTTCTACCTATAAAAGAGATGTAAGTGTCGTTACGAGGGTTCAAACTTAAGTCATGTAAGAGTGAGGAATTGTAAAGCTTCGATTTTATGGCAGTAAAATTCATTGGCAGACAACTTTGTAGTCGTCAAACAAAACGCAGAGAATGGCCAGTTTGATCAACATACTTTTTGTTTCCTTCCCGTCACGGTGTCATTCAAGACCAACTCTTGCCTTAGTAGTCCAGCAACAACTAAGAATCACTCATGGGTTTGATCAGCTCGTTGCCTAATCACGTGATTCGTGAAATGACTCCAAAAGGTAACGTGATTCGTGAATGAATGGAAATTTAACCCGTGATTCGTGATCCAGGCACCACCTCCCAGACCCTAGTGGATTGCTTTGCTTTACAAAGAATGGAAATGGATGGCATTTGACGTCTCTTATGACGTTATCTATTGAAACCTGTATTAAGCGGACACTACAGCATTCCCCGAGAGTGTCCGCTTAATACAGGTTTCACTGTTTTGGCGCCAGCCATTTTCGGTGAATCAAGTGTCTACACCCCCTGGAGATCGATGTACCAACGTATAGTCGCCACAGCCATGAATATTTACTTGCTAATTGGATTACGTTATATCAGGATCGAGGGTTATATGCCTCTTAAGTTAGAAACAGTTTTTTTTTTTACTATTTGAAAAATTGGATTATTTTTTAGCGAGTTTCAACAATGAGAGAGCCTGCTTGCTAGCTAGATAAAGCAGACAGAATATTCAAATACGCTGCAGAGTTTTAAACAATGAACAATTCCGTCAACGGAAACGTTTTTATCCGCTCAATAGATAAATGCATTTTATCCCTTCAGAAACCACTTGGAGTAGGTCAACTAAAATAGACACAAAATGGCAGACCGCGAATGTTGTAATCGCTCAAAAAATCCGCTTCAGATCACTGCACCTTACCAATAGACCTTACAGTGAAGTCCCGATTTTTTTAACTTTTTGGCTCTAGAACGGTGAATATTCAAGGCATGCTACTATGTCCCATATTGATTATAAAATTGTAACCGTAATTACCTTGATGAAAGAACAAATACTGTACAGTACGTGCAAAGATGAAAATAGAACAGTAAAATGATAATTTTAAATTGTATACCCTCACAGCAGCGCTCAATGCCATCACGTTCGCAGAAAAGATTGTTTTTGTGGCGATGTGTGAATATGTTTTTTTTATATTTTTGGCAAGTTGATATCGATTTTTCTTCGACAAGCATCGTGTTCGAACATTTTTTCTTTATGCTCTTCAGTATCCTCGTTTTCCTCGTATTGTCGTTATTGCTGCCATTATCGTTTAAATAATTGTTATAAATTACGATTGCTGTATTCCTAGCAAACCAACTCACGCTAAACATTGTTATCCTGGAAATATCCAATACCCAGCCATTAACTTGAAAGTATCGCATGAGATGTGTGTATATTGGGGAGGAGGGGGTAGGGAAATCGAAAGAGACGGGGTCCTTCGTCGGAAAATTTGAATGGGTGTGGTTGAGGCTTTGAACTTGAACCCTGAGGAGGAGCATACCCCAACATAGTTTGTTTCTTTTTACAGATATTTTTTCAGTCTCAAACCTAAACGACACTGTGACTTTTATGAATAAAAATGTTGGCTTTCCGTCTTGAATACACTCTGGGAGAGACCGAAATCTGCAAATTCTGGCCCTAAACGAGGCGACGAGCGTCCCTGTCAAGTCCCCGCATCCCCTGGGGGAGTATTCCAATTATTTAAACAGTGCAACCGAAAGAAAAGTCATTACGAGCTTGTGTTTATCTGCAAAACAGCTGTTAATCATAACAATTACCCCCAGGGTAAAGCTAACTGTTAATGTTACTAAAAGAAAATTAAAACAATGGGTTGATTCATTTCCATTCCTTTGACGCTTCAAGCCGAACTAACTGCTAAAAAGACCGATTATAGTTCTCTTTCGATATTTGTATCATCTTGATAACACGAGAAATCTTCCCCATAAATTGCACAAACATATTCAATTTTGTTTTACTTTTTTAACTCAAAAATGTGATGTGATCATATAATCTGATGGTTCTACTGACTCGTCGTGTATTCTGATAATGTACTTTTGATCGAAATAGCATTTACAACCTATTGAAAAGGTCAGTTACGGTTAAAGTACTGTAGCACTTGAAAGTTATAGACTAGGTTCGGCGCTTCGCCAGTCGTCAACAGCGGCGCACACGGGTCTTAATTCAGGAACAACAATTTATTCATATTTTCATGAATATACGAAATTGCAAAAAAGAAAAAAGAAAGAGGCTGGAGATATAGGCGTCAAAGAAACTCGAAATAAAAGGTAAAAACTGCTCGACAAGACGGATAGTACCGTGAGCAAATTTGTAAAATTTGCGGTCAACACGGTAACCAGGCAATTCGCAAAGGACATCTTTTCACCAACTCTTTCGCCACTCTTTTGCCCACAAAAGTCCTCCTGAAGAGTGCGTACAAACTCTGCATTTTGAATTTTAAATATTCACACCGTAAGAAAAGAATGGTTTAATAAGTATACAAAATGGCCTACAGATTAACAGCTGGTTTCCTTGATGCCATTTAAATTCATATTTAGGCTAAATAATTGTTCAAGAAACAACACCGACTCTTTTTCTGGAGGTAGTCCTTCCAATATGTTTTTGGAGGTCTCCGAGTTGCTGATGATATTAGTGTACTCGTTTTCTACAAGAGGCTTATCAGAGTTTTGTACTGAAGAAAGTATGCCATCGGAGAGAGGCTGTTCGTGATAATTTCCATTGATTTCCACTAAAGAGGATATTGACTGTTTATCACCGCTTTCCGTATTATCAGAAACATCGGCTAAAATCATAAACATCCCCTTGCCATCAAAACTCTCTTTTCTGCCTGGGGATAACATATCTTCTTGAAGATTTTCCACAATCGTACTGTCGAGTTCCTTTCCTGAATAGAAAGATGGGTCTAGCTCGTCAGACAATGGCCTTGTGATTTTGCTAATTGTTTGACAGTCCTCTTTTGTATCGCAGCTCCCTGGCGGAAGCACGGTCCCAAACCGCCGTGTTTTAGTTTTCGCAACCTCTTCTTGATTTCCAGCATCGATGATGGACTCTTCACTCAGTTTTGCCAGCTTTGACTGTGATGGCAGAAATAAACTGCCATTTGGCAGCACGTCAAACTGATTTACTTTTAATGAGTTTCTCTTTCTTTTAAGGTCTGCCCCATCTCCATATTGTGCAAGAACGTTTTCTTTGGCACAAAATGATACATGGTCATTGCAATTCGAAGGTCTTCTGTTGGTATACGCCTGGCGTAACAAACCATGATTATTTTCTCTAATTTCATAGTGGTTTGAACTTTCACTTCTCGATCGGCTTATTTTTCTCCACACAGTGGAAATCGAATCGCTCAAGGTGCCGAATTTTTTATACCAATTCTCATCATCTAATTCATCATCCCATATTCCATGCCTTTTTCTTGTAAATATTTCCTTAAATCCCTTTTTAAAATCTTTACTGAATGCCCAATAAATAACTGGATTAAAAATACTATTCGTGTATGTGAACATTCGGCATATAATGCCTGCAGTGTTTGAGTATTCACTTTGATGCCCGTCACCAAAATCTGACCAGAGCCAAAATATCTCATTTGGCAACCTACAAGTGGCAAAAACAATGACCACCGTGACGAACATTTTTGTTGCTCGGATATTTTGATCTCTGGCGAGGACATCGTGTCTTTGCCCAATGGTTTCACGGCTTGCTTTTCGATGATCACGAGATATGTCCAAACGACCACTGTTGACGTTGCTATTGGTAGCAGTAGCTTCAATTTGAAGGCTTATTTTTCTTGGGTGGCCCGTGTATTTGCCCTTGTCACAAGTGGGGTTGTCAAATCTATTGGAACTTCCATACAAGTTAAGTAAAGTAAGAGAATAAATAACGCTCATGAAAGCTAATGGGATCCCATACTGAACAATGAAAAGGAATAACGTGTAAGCTTGCCTGTAGGAAAATGCTGGCCATGTTTCCTCGCATTTTTGGCCTTGGATCGATGGTGTCAAGTCTAAGTGGTACACGTAGGGGATAACAACTAAGAGGCCCATCAGATGAGTTAATGCGATGGAAAATTTCACCTGTCGCGAGTTGAGACGTTGCTTGAATGGGTGCATAATCACTCTGTAGCGATCAAAAGAAATCATTGCCAAGGTAAGCGATGCTGCTGTAGCAGAGAGCGTCGCGAGAGGGAACAACGTCTTACAAAGAGCGCGTCCAAATGGCCATATGTACTCGTTTTCTTCTAACGCAAGATCAAATGGGATGCTTGTTATAGGAACGATGAGGTCGCAAATCGCCAGGTTGAGAATAAGTAGATATGACGACATCCGCATACGCCTTGTCCTACAGACAATGAGCACAACCATGAAGTTTCCAATGAGACACAGCAGAAGTATTATCGAGTAAAAGGTGATCTTGAAGATCTTAAAAGAGAGGGATTCCTTGAAACTTGGCTCCGTTGAACTTGTATTGCCTTCCATTTCGAAAACTTTCTTTTTCGTCAAACTCCTTAAGTTGTCGCGCCAGCCGTGCAGGGACAATGCAAAATGTTCCGAGTAATGGTGATATCACGTGTAGTGGGTGCAAAAATGTCAGCGTTGATCGTTTCTTTAGTATATGCTTACAGGCGAAGAAAGCGTGGAATGTTTTGTGTTGTTGATTATAGATCTTCCCAGAGCGGGGGCCGTAAAACTCTTCATTTTGTTGAGTGGACAATCCCCACCAAAGCAAATCCGTTTCACAGGAACTGAGATACTTCAACGCAAAGCCGAGGAAATGGCTTTCTATGACTAAGTATAACGTACGTATACCTCAGAGTAAGAATTAGTCTGATAATAGATTTTATCTTGACAGTGATACTCATTTATATAATGCGGCTGTATCGTATCAATTACGCGTAGATTCCATGATCCAGATGTGATCGAACTGTTGTGATTTGTCCTCTAAAGATATGTTTAGATATTTGTTCACAGCTTGACTCCTACGGTAACAGACGAAAAAAATGTGTATGAAGCGGTACTTTATTGTTAGCGCCTACATACAACTGAGAACTGCTTTCTTAGAAACCATTTCGACGAATTTGCTACAAGTTACAGTTTGTAGGAACTAATACGACCGGTAAATATCATAGGGCATGTAGAGCTTTGTGAATAAGAGGTTAAAGAGGGTGATGTTTTGATAGGTGCAAGGCATGTTTTAGTTAGCTGTCCACATACATAAGTGCTTCTTGAGTTTTCGCCCTAAAATAAGCTAAGTGGCTTGTCTAATAAAGTATTGTTCACGCGAACTGTTGTATTTTTTATTTGACGCATGTAAATTACACCGTTTAAAGCTGTCATATAATTTTGGTCTACTGTTGTGGGTGCTACAAAAGGGGTGCTCGAGATACGGTTCTTTTAAAGTTTTGCATACATTCAACGCTTAAATTTGTTTTGGCGGCTTTAAAAGAAGTTAAGAGGTAATTGCATAAAGAAAAACAAATAACACACTATCCAAATCGGATTTAAATTGATAACAGAACAGGTTATTTTCTCGTTTTGTAGTCACGTCTCATGAAGACAATCACACGAAAAATTTCTATAAATAATAAACTAAATACAAATTTGCAGTTTGGTCTTTCAATAAGTACTGTACTCTATTTATATCTGTACCTTTTCCTGTCACCGAAAATAATCCGTTACCAGCATTTACTGAAGTGAAGCCCACGGTTATCCGAGTTCTACTATTTCAATATTAATATTTTCAGTTGGTGTGCCAACAGCATTTTTTTATGCAAAGGAAGCTTTTTACTTTTTCGTTTTGAAACCTGGAAAAATAAAGGAGGATCACAGTTTGAACTTTCAAAAGAAAAATGGCACCGGCCAGGATGATCAATCTTGATGATCAATCTTGATCTGTTTTAAGTTGTCCCTTGCAAAAAGGATTCCTTGTGTTAAAATCAAAGTGAGTTCATGCATGTGGTGAAAATGAACCAGAATTTTTACGAGTACGAGTAACACAGGGTACGCAAGGTTTTGCCAGGGAAAGTCATCCTTTAGAAGCTTTTAGAATAGCAGTGTTATAATTTTATATTATTATATGAGAACTTATGATAACACACCAATTCAAATAGAAATCTATCGTGGTATATCAAAACTCAGCAGCTCGCATGATCCAACAGCACACTCATTTTGCGTTTCTCTAGTGAAACCGACATTCTGATCTTTCATTTGCGCACTTGGAGAAATATAATACCAAACTTAAGCAACTGGAGAAATATTTAGATACTTGATCGCTGCTGAGCACTGCTGCGGCACTGGCATCACCTCCGCCACCATACCCAACACCCACACGGACACGATCTTTTCAGCAATACTACTGCCAATAATGTCACCATCATTAGGCAACATGCCATCACCACCACTGTTAACATCAACAACACCAGCCCAGAGTGCCAATTTACTCCCTCATGCCAAAGTCTGATTCATAGACACGATCACTTCAATACTACTGGCAGTAATGTCACCATCAGTTAGTCAACATGCTGTTACCACCACTGTTAACATCAACAACACCAGCCCCAAAGTGTTAATTTACTCCCTCAACAACCACACTGACACGACCACTTCAGCAATACTACTACCAATAATGTCACCATCATTAGGCAACATGCCATGGCCACCACTGTTAACATCAACAACACCAGCCCAGAGTGCCAATTTAATCCCTCAGGCCAAAGTCTGATTCATAGAAACGATCACTTCAATACTACTGTCAGTAATGTCACCATCAGTTGGTCAACATACCATCACCACCACTGTCAACATCAACAACACCAGCCCCAAAGTCTCAATTTACTCCCTCATGCCTTGAAAGTCTGATTCATAGTTTCCTGAAGCCATTTCAGCACAATTTGAAACAAAACAACCCTATCAAAGTACCCGGAGCCCTTAACCCGGAGCGAGCATCTCCCATACTATGTCACGGCGTTTTCACGGTCAAGTTTATTTTTTTAGATGCATTTTTGAGCACTTTTTCTTCCGAAAATGGAAATGTAAGATATGAAAAAGGAAAACCAAAAGTTATTTAAAGGTCAAAAATACATTTTTAGGTCTCTTTTGTAGGTTTTGCTGACTGTTTTGTAGGGCTTAAAAGTTATTCTAAATTCGTGCTAAAATCGTTCTAAAAATAACCTTGCCGCCTAGTTACCTGATCTTGTAAACTGAGGAAAGGTTATGTAATCACTTTCAGCATGATCATCCGCCAGATGGCGGTCCGACCCGGCCATCGGGTCTGGATCTAGCAATGATCACCTCAACCTCCACACCGCTGCACAAACGTCGTGGTCACCATTACTGCCTCACTATCCGAAATCATCATAATCATAATCATACTCGTCATTATCATCATCATTCTCATCATTTGGGGATGCGCCGGTCAATTTAATGGGTCGAATTTTTTCCCTGTTCCAAGTATAGCAATCTTAAGTGGCGAATGTGGTGCATTTTCCTAGTTTTCGTGACTAATGGTCACAACGCCTGTTTTTGCTTCTGTTATAAAACCATGACGTAAATTACGTTCCAACGAAGATCTATAATGTGAAGTTACTTTAACTCTGAAAGTAAAAATTTTAGGTACAGGAAAACTCCTTTTGGGGGGTTATTTTAACTCCTCAATATCTGGGGTGATTTTTGCACTTGAAAAATTGTTCTCCTTTTTGAAGTTAAAATAACTCCACTGTAAGGAGTATATTAGCCCCTCTAAAGGAGTTATTATAAGTCCTTGAAAATTACTGTAGGTTAACTATTCCAGCTTGACGAGTTTGCTCGTCACAAAAACCGTTGACCAAGACAGTGGTAAATATTCCTTTTTTGCCAATTCCCGGTTCAGTGAAAGCAAAAGAGAATAATCGTAAGGCTGTGGCTAGGCTCGTTGAAGACTGAAGATAAGCCTCTCAAGTTTGTCCAATCAAATGAGAGAGCTATCGAGTAGTCATTTCCTTTGGACAAGAAGATTTAGAAGCTTGATTGGTGTGATAGCAAACAACTGTAGTGAAAAACCGTCCAAGTCAATGGAGAAAATCTGTTAAAAACATCAAATTTCTCTTTGTTTATTTCTAAGACAAACTGCACCGTGTAAAGGTATTCAGATAGAGACTTTTTGTGTATTAAGTCAGAGGGTAGGACTAACAAGTCTCCAGAGATCTTTGAGATTCAGGAATGACATGGTAAAATGTCTTGTCATTGTATCTCTTGTCACTACCACCCACACACTCCATACCGGTCTTTCTGCGATTTTTGGTGATGGGCACATTGAATGGCTGAAACATCATTGCGTGTCGATGTCCTTTCCGATATTTTTATATATTCATATTTTTTAATTTTATCGATGATACTTCATGTTCCTGTCAGA